AGTGGGTTTCTATGGTACCATTTCCAAAGAAAAATTCATTTAATATTTATTCTTGGCTAGGATGGGAAATAGAGACCAGATAATGTAAAACTAGTAGTTCTCAACTGTGCCAAACAGATACAGTGATCACTTAAGGAAACATATTTCTTTTGTGTAGAAAACAGCACTGGGCAGAATAAAGAAATGTAAGATACATAATTAAGTAGGTTGCTTTCATCAAAATGTAAATATGAAAAGTTTTAAATGTTAAAAAGAACCTTGGCAAATTTTAAGTTCAAAATTTATAAATTTCTAAAACTTATTTACAAATTTAGAATAACCATTACCAAACTGATTTACTCTCACTAACATAACTGTCTTTTGGTTCTACACAAGCACTCTTAGAAACCTCCCAAATTGTGCAAAACTGTAATCTCAGAACTTAGGAAGGTGAGGCAGGAGGACCCCAAGTTTGAGAACACCTTGTATAACACAAGCAAAGGTCTGCCTCAAAAAAAAAAAAAAAGAAAGAAAGAAAGAAAAGAAAGGAAGGAAGGAAAGAAGGACAAAGGAAGGGAGGGAGGAACATAGGGAATGAAGGAAGGAATGAAGGAAGGAAGGAAGAAGACTAAGGCAAGAAGTTAGAGAACTTAAATTCAAGGCCAGCTTGGGCTACATAATGAAATACTCCCCCAAAACCAAACAAAGTTGCCACTAAACGTGTGTGTGTTTGTGTATGTATTGCTCTGTTTGCTTTTTGCTTTGTTTGAAGGGTATACTTCTGGGGATTGAACTCAGGGCCTTATGCCTATGAAGCAAACACTCTACCACTGAGCTACAGCCCCAGTCCCAATGTATACATTGTTTATCAATTTAAGACTCCACTGTATGAAAATCAACCTTCCTAATATGGTATCCTGATGTCACTAGAAAGTATCACCTACAGGACTTCTGTTGTACATGTAATCCATCATTGACTGAAAGATCTTTACGTGACCTGTGACTTATAAACATAGGTTGCTGTGCTCTAGAGATTCCTCTGCAGAAAAATTCTTTGAGAGCAATGTAATTTGACCAATTGAAAATACAACTTTGTAAGAAGAGTCAGCTAGAAAAAGGTAAGGACTCATTATATTAGCTTCTCATGACTGCTGTACAAATTACCACAATCAGTGGCTTAAAACAAATTTAGAGTTCTGAAGGACAATAAAGGTCCTAGAATGTGTTTTTAGGCTGTGTTCCTCTGGAGATTTTAGGAGAGTCTCTTTCTTGCCCTTTTCATCTTCCAGAAGCTGCCTGCTCTCCTTGGCCCAAGCCCACATGACTCTGCCCTGCCCTTCAATGGACATATCTTCTATGAGCCCTGGGCCTCCACCCTCTAAGGATCCTTAGAGTTACACCGGTCCACTTAGGTAATCCAGTGCAATCCCCCTGTCTCAGAACACTCAGCCAAATCATTCTCAGAGCACTGTTGCCACAAAAAGTAAGAGAGTCACCTGTTCAAGGAATTAAGATGCTAGGCACCTTTGGCAGAGGAAGGGTGCATTATTCTGCTCTTCACACTCACTAACAATCCATAAAACCTAACTAAACATGTTCTTCCAGTCTGGGTGGAGTTTGGGCATCTTTGGAGCCAGTGAGAAGAACACATGCTAAGCAATCTAAGAACTGGTCCACCCTGAAAGTGGCAGATTTGGATGGAGCCTGGTTCTGCTGGTCAGCATGTGTGCCAGCATTGACTCCTGTGCTGATGCTCTGAGGTCCAGGCACAATGACCGGGAGTGCCACACAATACAGTGTGAGAGGCTTTTCAAAACAACCTCTTGGTAGATATTCAATAGTATTACTTGTAACAGGACTCAAAGGAATGAGAAGTGATCAGCAATACATTTCAAAAACAAAAATTGAAAATTGAGTACAAGTTTCCATCCCCTACAGGGATGGTCCAAAACACAATTCTACCTTGTGGGAGCATATGCCAGGTAAGGATCTACTTAGTTCTGTTTTGTATATGGGTGAACTAAGAGCAAAACAAGGTAGGAGAAACCTTGCAGCTGGGATGCGATCATGACCCCCAAACACGCTGTGCATGGCAAGGGTTCTATGTACTATGAAGGTCTTGTGAAAGTTGATGGTGCCAATATTAACTGGTTTTTGTCAGATGTAGACCAAATTAGTCCTGGGAAGTAACAAAGGGTGAGGGCTCATGCCTACCTATTTGAGATATCTACTTTGTAAAGTCCCACCAGAAATTACTTCCCCTCCTACCACATCCCAGGCTTTGCATACTGTGCACTGAAGGAAGTTTTCTGTATCAAAGTTTGTAATTAACAATTCTTTAACATTGCCACTGTTCAGGCAAGATAATTTTGACAGAACACTTGGTCAGGGCACCTCTACCAAGGACTTGACTCCAACTCCTGCTTCAGGTCTCCAAGACCAGTGAAGTTTTATGCAAGCAGATTACTTGAATCTCTCCCTTTCTATTCATAACAACTTCCCCTTGCTTCAACCTCCTTGAATACACCAAGCGTTTACTCACACCTCAGTGCTCTGCTACTCCCAAATCAATGCTATTATTCCATGGTGGGAAGAGATGGGAAGAATGGGTCTGTAGTTCCCTGTTCCTATCAGTCAAGCAGTACACAGATGTTGAGCCTATGTGGGCAAGAATGCCCCAAGGTGAAGTACCGAGAGCTGGGGGCCTTTGGAAGGTGATTGGATCATGAGAATGGAGCCGCCATGAGTGGGAGTAATCTATAAAAGAGGCCCCAGAGGGCTGCTTGTTCATTGTACACCATAAAATTAGCATGACAAACAGGAAGCAGGACCTCAGCAGATGTTGAATCTACTTACACATTGATTTTGGACTTCCTAGCCTCTAGAACTATCTGCACTATGTCTCTCCTGTTTATAAGACACTCGGTTTGTGGGATTTTGTTATGGCAGCTAGAATGGACCCTTCTCAGAAAGACCCTCCAAGCCCATGCCCTGCCTCCCACTCTCTGGAATGCTCTGGCCCTTCTTCATCCCTCCCTGGTCTCTACCTCCACCTGATGTCAACTTCAGAGGTACCTGTCATTGTGTGGAGCTCCTAAAAGTTAGGAACTTCTTCCCTACCTGTGAATCCTGGGCAGGGTCTCTGCAGCTATTAGAAGAACCCAAGAACCACGAAAAATAAGTCCTTCGTGGAAACCTGGAGCAAGGTGATTATAGGAGGTAATTAGGAAAATTAATTTCAAGCATGAGATTAGGTTACTTCATTCATTATGGGGAAAAATATGTCAACTGGAGAGCGATACAACCTCTACAAATAACTCTAATGCAAGAAATTAAAATTATCACCAGCTGGTCATTTATTCTGTCCTTAAAGTGAAATTGAGCTCCCCAGAGAAGCTGGAAGCAAGACTCAAAACTCAGAGCATGGTAGAATGAGAATGATTTCTGTTCATTCCACATTATTGCAAAAGACAGCCCTGCAGACACAGTGCCAGATGAGGTCCTGAGCCCTGGGCTTGTCTGCCAGATCAGAGAGCTTTTGCCTTTTTTTGCTTGAGGGAGGTGAGCTCCTGCAGTTCTGGAAGGTGATGGGGTAACTTCTAAGCCTCAAGTAGCCACTCTTCCATGGTGCTGGGGATTCTCAGAGGAGGCCCAAACCAGAGAGGGGCTCTTGTCTTTAAAAATGCTTTTCATAAGTTGGGGATGATAGGTCATACCTATAATCCCAACACTCAGAGAGGCAGGAGGTTCTCAAGTTCCAGAGCAGCATGGACTATGTAGAGAGAGCCTGCATCAAGAAAGAAAGGAAAAAAGAAAGGAAGGAAGGAAGGAATAAATAAATGAAACAAAAGTGCATTTCAAACCTGAGAGGAAAAGGATTTAATGCATACATGGTCAGAGAACTCTGGCGTGAATAGTGGGAATCTCTCCTGTAGCAGTCAGATTCTCCAATACTACAGTAAACAAATCCATTTGTTGGAGGGAGGGACTGGGGACACTGGAAAGGAAGAGCAGGAAACTTCCAACCCAAGGGCAGAAGCCAGGACAGGAAAGGGGCAAAAATTCGCACATAGTTCTGCCTCCCCAATGTTCCTAGACTCAAGAGGTTGCTGCTGCTCTAGCATTCTTACACTAGTCAGTTTCCTAAATGCCCCAGGCCTCTGTCTATAAGGGACTGGACCTATGATTTGGTGTGAGCTGCCTTTGTAATGCTGTCTCCTTAATAGTCTTCTACTGGCTGATAAACAAGTGCCCTGTGAGTGTTTCCAGGAGTCAGACTAGGTAAACTTCACCCCAGAATGGATCCATGTTCTTTCAATGAACCTGCCATAGGCGACACTCAGTGTGTGTGTAGATACAGAAGGCAGAGCCGAAGAAATAACCTGATAACGTGAGCTCAGAGCCATCTGAGCACCCAAGCCACAGCTGTAGCCAGGGCTCTTTATCAGTAAAAACAAATGGATCTCAAGCACACTGCCAAGTCATTTAAGACACATGGCTGGATTAAGACAAGCTGTGTCACAGACTAAAGAACTATTCCAGTTTAAGATTTTAAACCACTAGGCAGTGTCCTGCACAATTATTTAGAACATAATCTTGTGGACACAGATCTTCCTCATTCTGAGATTTTTTTAATTTAAACACAAAACCTTTTATTTTGTTAAAATGTTTACATATTTTTTGCTATTAATTTATGGCACATGCATTCATACTTCTCTCAAACAGGATTGTGTGTGTGAGGAGTGAGGGCAGGTGTGTGTCCAGTCCAACTAGCCAGGTCTGGAAGCCTGGAGACAGTTAAGTCCAGCACCAGCAAGAGTGGCCACACATGTACTTCAGTTCTCCTTGCAAAGGATTTGGGACAACACACCTGAACAGCAGACAGGAACCCAGGACAAGTTTGGAAGGTCCCATCCTGGACAGGCAGTGGGCAGGTAAGGAGGGAGTGGAAGCAGCAGGGGACATCCTGCCTGCTCCTGGGGCTTCTCTTCTGGAGCAAGGAGTCAGGACAAAGACAGAGGCTATTTCTTGCGAGTGTGCTACCTATGGGCATGCAGTCGCTGTCGAGCCACTGGAGTCTTGGGTTCTGCACCAATGGGAACTGAAGGGGCCACCGATCCCAAAGACCTGGCTCTGACCACGCGGTCGGTGGCTGTTGACGAGGATCCAAGCGAGAGGCTGCTGCCCGCTGGGCCCACACTCAGGGCAAGGGTGCTGGGCATGGAGGCGCCTCCTGACACAACTTTGCGCCCAGGCGTGGTGGCCACCTTAAAGGAAAAGGCTCCACTCTGGCCTGGTGTACCCAGGGCACTCTGACTCAAGCCACCAAAGGAAGTGGAGGCGCCTGTGGTTCCACTCTGGCCAACTCGGAAGCTGAGTGATCCAGGGTTGGAACTGGTGCCTGGGGTGGCTGTATGGACTCTAGAGCCCCCACTGCCAGGCGGGGCCGCTGAGCCCCGAAGGTTGGAACTGGTGCCTGGGGTGGCTGTATGGACTCTAGAGCCCCCACTGCCAGGCGGGGCCGCTGAGCCCCCGAAGGCTAAATGGGACCGAGTCGAGCCGCCAAGCTTGGAGGTACTGGTGCCAGTGCTGGTGGCCTGGGTGGCAGCCCCGAAACCAGAGGTGGTGACTGCCGGTAAGGAGAAAGCCGCGGTGGTGCCACTGAAGGTGGGCTGGGTGCGAGCAGCAGCACGGAGCGCAGAGGCCGAGCCTTTCCCATCATGGATTGCAGAAGGCGCACAGCCATCCAAGGCCTCCGGAGCCCGCGCAGGCCCTGCAGGTGGAGCAAGGGCTGCAGAGTTGCCAAATGCGAAAGCGCTGCCCCAGCCTGCGGCAACAGCTGTCTTGGGGGCCTCCTGCTGCTGCACCTTCCCCGTGGCCCCAAATGCTGGCTGTGAGGCACAGCCAAAGGGAACATGGAAGGCCGAGGTAGTGGTGATGCCGAAGGTCAGGGTCGACTGGCTGATGGTGTTAGTGGCCGAGGTGGTAATCGGGCAGCTGAAGCCACTGAAGCCAACAGTGCTGCTCCCTGTGGTGGCCATCTGTGCGGCACTGGAGAGAGGCTGGCCAAAGGGGCTGGCTGCTGCAGAGGTCTGCAGGGTCTGAGGCTGGCAGGACTGGAGTATGGGGCCCATGGCTCCAGGGAAGCTGGTGGCAGATGCAGGGGGAGCCCCAAAGAGAAAGGGCTGAGAGGTGGAAGCCATAGTTCTGGTGGAGCTTCTCGTGGTGCTGGCCAGGCTGTTTACCCTGAAGCTAAATGAGAGTTTTGAAGCAGCATCTGTGGAGGTCCCAGCGGTGGTGGCAGAAGCCACTGTGGAGGGGGCAGTGGCTAAGCCAGTGAAGACAGGTGCAGTGGTGGATGGAGTCCACCAGCTACAGTGGTAGCTGTCTGCTTGAAGGGCATTGACAAAGGAGCAGAAGTAGGTGGCCCCATGCTGCCAAAGATGGGCTTCAAAGTCAAGGTGGTGGTACCAGTGGTAGCCAGGAGGGTGGAACTGGAGGAGCCTCCAGGTGTGGCTGAGGGGCTACAGGACATGGGGCTGTCACTTTCCATTTTAGGTGGGGTCAGAAAGAGGCTGGGATCTGGGACAAGCAGAAGACAAGCCAGGAGTGGTGGGGGAGGAAGGGTTGGGAGGCCCTCTGTTCGACACCCCAAACAGGATACTATTTGGGGTGCAGAGCAGTGGGCCTCCTAACCCTTCCTTCCTCGACACTCCTGGAGTGTCTTCTCCTGGCTTCAGGGTGGGGGCGAAGTCCAGGGGGCCTTGAGCTTTTGCAGAGGTCTCAGCCTGAGGGGCTGGAAGTGACTTGGTGTTCATGACTGGAGTCATGGTGGAAGCAGGGGGCAGCCGTAGGAGAGCCACAGAAGAGGTGCCTGGCAGGGAAGAGCCCAGAGGGTCCTGAAGGCCAGGTGTTTTGGGGGGTATTGGGGCCAAAGTGGTGGCTGTTGCATCAGGCTCTGGGGAGATTGGTTGGTCCCCAGGGTTCTCCATCTTGTTGCAGGTCTCCAGCAGCAGTTTCGAACCAGGGGCCTGGAGGGAAGCCAGCGAGGAAGCAGGACTGGCTGCAGGCAGGGTAAATGTGAAGGAGGGCTGAGTGGCAGGTGACTTCTCAGGAACAGAGCTGGAGAGAGCATCAGTCTTGTCCTCCAAGGCCTTGTTAAACCACTGGAACCTTGCCTTCCTCTCCAGGTCCAGGTCTTCAGCAGTGATGGGATAGCTGAGCTGGGGAGGTGGTGGCAAGGTCAGCGGGTCCCCTGACCTGCAGAGCAGTAGCTGAGTCTTCCTTCTACGGCTCCTGAAGCTGGCAGGTGTGGATGGGGAAGTCCTGGAGTCCTTTTGTGTCCCTGTGGTCACATTTGAAGCCCTTTCTTCCTGGGACTCCTTGTGGGTCACCTGTGGAGCTTTAGAATTGGCTCGATGATGCAGTACCTCTTCTCTTGCTTTCTTGGCTGGTCTCTCTGATGTCTGGGAGCTGGAAGAGGCTTGGCTAGAGAATGGGGATGCAGTGGGAGCCCTCCTCTTCCACAGCTGTGAAATGCCTCCAGTAGAGCTGTAGGAACTGGTGATGGCGTTTTGGCTAAAGCAAGGGATGCCACCTGTGTGCGTGCTTGTCACAGATGAGGTGCACAACTGCTTGCTCTTGTGGTCGTCTGAATTGTGGGAAATGAGGCCTGTCATTAGGGACTCAGGCTCAGGCACAAACGAAGCTGAGTCTCCGTTGGCCTGCAAGGATTCAGGTGCAGCCTTTCTGCTCCCAAGGCCATCATGGCGCTTTCTCTTGTTTTCCTGGTCATCACCGAGTATTTCGCCCTCCTCTTTCACTGTCCTTTTCCTCTCATCTTCGAGGGCACTCGGTGTCATCTCCTTTGCTTCAGGGTCTGGCCCAGCACTGGTACAAAGGCTGGTGCAGAGCTGAGCATCTGCTCCGGCCCTGGAGGACGCGGACGCTTGCGGGGAGCAGGAAACCGCACGGTCCCCAGGCTGCACACCATCCTGGAATTCCGGGGAGACAGCATGACCTTCTGGCGGCCGCCATCCCAGCACACAGTGGGCAGCACCCCCACCATGGAGTACCGCGCCTGCTGGATCGGGTAGGGCCTTCGAGGCGTGATGGTGAAGCGACTGGACAAGGCAGCACGGTTGCTGCGGGGCCTGCGCGGGTCTCGGAGTAGCGGGGTGCGGAGCAACGGACAGACGTGGTGGACATAATGAGTGGTCAAAGGCGGTCAGGAGTGTGGGGGCTGTCGGCGACAGGGCCTGTTTTGTGCGCCGGGCGACGGGCAGTGTTTGCCCACGTAGCCACCCATGTTGCTGAGCAGAGCGAACTGTGCGATTGGACCTGAGTGGCGTTGGCAGCGTCTCTAGGGACTTCCGTTGACCGTCCACGTGGCCAGACGATCTGGTAAGGGTCGCTGACGCCAACGCATTCCACCGGTCTGGGGCACCACTCTGCATCCGCGAGGCCTAGCGGCGACAGGCCAAGCAATGCTGTCCAGGTCCGTGCCAATGCGCGCTTTGGGCCGCAGCGTGCGGGAGACCTGAGTTTCTTTATCCGTAAGATGATGAGGTTGGAATATCACAGAAATCTCTAGATTTAGTTTTTTCTCTGCTCTGCCTGGTGTCAGACAAGCAGGAAGGGAGATTCCCTAACACTGAGTCAAATTTCCTATCCAACATCCCTGAGGATGTCTGCCATTTGTCATCACACAGAATTCTCAGGCTCAAGAGAGCTGTTCAAATTTCTCAGGGGACCATCAGTATTACCTGGAAAGTTGATCCACCAGTGTCCTCTAGCAGTGGTACATTCTGATCAACCCAGGCATTGACATCTCTCAGGACATTTGGCATGGCTTCTGGCACAGCAGCCTTACCACAGCCCTCACCAGGACAGTGCTATGTGGAATGGTGCTGGTTCAGAACAAGTGACCAGTCTAAGGAGTGTTGGCTTCAGAGAACCATGGGAGCCAGCCTGGGATGGCTTGTCCTTTCTACAGTTCCTCTGATCATGTGGAGCCTGTGACTAGAGCCTGGGAGTCACCAGAGCACCTCTGTGATTGCATCATATCCACATGATGTCTTTGCTGTAAACGTGGACCTGTGTGGAGTGTTGGAGTGGGGGAAGGGCAAGCACAGAAACCAAAGAGAATAAAGCCAAGCAGACACCACAGTCACTCGGCTGAGACATGTGTGCTAGAGAATGCAAAGGAGACAGCAAGTGTCATTTGAACAAGCAACTGTGCCTCCTGTCAGCACATCTGTGCGCTTCACTGCATTCTGTGGCTCCTTTCAGCACTCAAAACCATGGCAGGGGCTCCTGCTTGAGAATAAAGCCACATCTGTTGGCCATAAGGACCCAGGCCTGGGGTGGCGGAGGCAAGGATGGCAGAGGAGGGGTGCCAGACTCTGCAAAGACATGCCTCCAGCAACTCAGCCCTCTGTCATCTCGGGTCATCCTCAACTTCTCTATTAGAGCTTAGAAATCCTCCCCTCCCTTCCATGCACCACTTCTATTTGGAACCTAGAGAAAAAGGGTGTAGTTACTTTTTGTATATTTTTAATTGACAAATAAAATGTACATGTTAATGGAATACTTTGTGATGTTTTGATACATGTGTGCATTGTGTAATGTTCAAACCAGGGTAAACATATATATCAAATTTTTATCATTTCTTTGTGGTGAGAACATTCAAAAACGTTTCTTCTAGTTTTTTTAAGTACACACTATATTTTCATTATCTACAGTCACCCTCCTGTGTAAGAGAACAGTAGAACTTAGGAAGCATTGTTTTAAATTATTTTTTGGTGCTAGGGATAAAACCCAAGATCTTGTATATGCTAAGCACTTGCTCTTCCTCTGGGCTACACACTTAACCAGGAAGAAAAATTTTAACAATGTTTTTATTTAAAAATTAAATGTTAGCAGTCTCCAGTGACTAGTACTTGGGTGTTGGAAAGCACAGGGCTGGAGGTAAACAGAGCTTATGGGACAAGATAGCTGAGAGAGGCTTTCTGCTGAGAAGCAGGATAGAGAGTGTGAAGATGGGGGTGATGTACTGAGTACAGCAGCCTCTGTCTAGCAACATAGGTCTCACAATACTTAAACCAGCAAGAGGCCAAATAGCCAATAGGGAAGTCACGTGGTACTGGTGGAGGGGTCAGGTGGGCAAGGAGAGAAGGGAAGGGGGAGAGAGAAAGGTGCAAAGGACCGAATCATGCACATGCTGGCGCCTCCCTCCCAGATAGCCTGTGTTGGGCTGCCACCTGCCTCCCAACATGTTTCCAGGACCACCTAAGTGGAGGGACAGATCTGAGTCTCCTGGCTCTTCTCAGCCTCCATGAATGATGAAAATGCAATTGTTGTAATGTACCTAATCAAATCCTGAAGAAGCTTCTTTGTGGGTGGCTTGCTAAGTGAAATATCGTTGGTTTCTTTTTCCATTTCTCCTCCATGGTGTCTGCTAAAAGGTCCTGCACTTTGGGCTGAAGGGGTTGGAATGACTTTAAGTAGATAATATGCTGTCAAGTCATATTCTTTCATTAATATGTTTACTTGCTCATTCCATGTGTTAGACTGAATTCACACTGTCACACTGTTGAAGGGGCTCAGAACACAGCAGGTCCCTCTTAATTCAATTGTGGACAAAAAACAAGAAAATCTATAGTGTGTGAAATGGTGACACACAGAACCCTGTTCAAAAGGGGGTAGTTACCCTTGTTATGGACACGTCAGTCTAAAATGGTGCTGTGGTTTTTAATGATGCACAATCAATGTCTCATTGAGGACTCAGGCGTCCTGCAGGATCCTAAATTGTACTTTCCTCTGTGCAGAATGAGACAAAAATGTGCTGCAAAAAAAGATATGCATCACTTCTTTGCAGGTATAAGCCACTTTCTGTCATCTGATTTCTGCCCATTATAAGTCAGATTCTAAAGCCTCTTTGTTCTCTCAAGGACATTTGCTCTGCCTGTCCGGCCTGGCTCTCCATCCAGTTCACACTAGCGGGCACTCAAAGAAGACACCTTGCTTCTTGGCATGAGACTTCTGATAGCAATAGAGTTTTCATAGAAAGGCTCATTTGACTTGAGGTGCTAAAATAGATGGCAGACAGCAGACTTCCCTATTATGTAGGGTTCAGCCAGCTCTGCTTGCCACTCTGCAAGGGCCTATGAGCTGGAGCAGGCACACATGGCGGGATCTGCAGGAAGTCTTGGAGCTCCCTCCATGATGAATGTGAATAACCTGTGATTATCCAGACTGCTCAGCTCTGCTTTTCATGAGAGCTCTTGGGAAACCTCCCAAGAGCAGGGCGGTGACTCTGAAGAAGCCTGGATGGTTGTGGGTTATCTCCTTAGGTCAGGATATTCAAGTTCACACACTTCTCATGACCTCCCCAAGTGTGTTACTTAGAGAGACTGTGGGTCACTGTCACTTTCCAACCCACACCACATTTGTCCTGTGTCTTGAATATTCTCCCTATGGGTGGGCACTAGTTCTTCTAAGCATTTAATTAAATTTTATGTTGACGCTCCTTGCAGGCAAATGATAAGTCTCCCTTGCTTGAAATCCACTCAACTTAGACTTTCTAGTCTATCCTTAAAGTTAAGAATGAATCATCATTTAAAAGATGCTCTCTCTTACTTCCAATGCAAGGTGTCTTTCCCTGACTTCTTCAAGAGGTACAGAAACCATTTTCCTTTCTTTTTTCTTTCTCACTTAAACTCTTCCATTTTTAAGTCATTCCTGGCTTCATCAAGTACTTTAAAAGTCATTGATACAAATATTTTAATTTGTTCTTCATGCCACAAATATGACATGCACTCCATGACAGACCTTTATGTGGGAAATACAGCTCAGGTACACAATTGAGACCGTATACAGCTTACATCACAACTGGATATTGGGAAATTCCCATGATTTTATGGATATACATGCTCTTTTCTGGAATTGTACTGTAGTTCTCTGTCATGTCTTTTTCACCAGCAGGATGAGTAATAATCCAACCATTGTAGAATGTGCATTAAGCTCTTACCATGTAGCAACAGTACTGGGGCAGAGGTACAGAGGTAAACTGAGGACAGCCTGGACTATCGACCTATAAGCTCTACTGAAAAGAAATATGTGGCTGTGAATCGATGGAGACTAACAGAGGGAACACACCAGAATCGGGTATTAGAAAGAGCGCTTCCAGGCCTCCTGCTCCTAGGAAAACAGGAAGAACTTCTGAAAGTAGTGAGATTGAAATAGAATTTGCAGCAGCAAATTTGCTCTCAGAGGAAAATACAGGTGAGACAGGCCACCTGTCTGCAAGACCACAGCAACAATGACCAAGAAACAGAAAACAAAGAGGTGCAGTTGCTTTTCCAAACATCTGAAAGGCAGAAATACACATACCCGTCAGTGGAGTCACTCCTGCCTTACACATTCTGTGTATCAGACTCTGGTGTTGAGCATCTGTTCACATGTAGCCAAAGGATAGTTTGGGTGTGATTAGTTTACGGCTCTCTCAAAATACACAGTGCTTTTTTCCTTCCTGGCAGAGTTTGAACAGTATTTTAAGAAGGCTATTCCTTAGAGTCTGAGGCAGATGCCAGTGGCTGTAATCCTAGCTACCCAGGAGACAAAGATCAGGATTGCAGTTCAAAGCCAGCCTGGGCAAACAGTTCTCGAAACCCTATCTCAGAAAAACTCATCACAAAAAAAGGATGGTGGAGTGGTTTAAGTTGTAGGCTCTGAGTTCAAACGCCAGTACCACAGAAAAAAAAAAAAAGGAATGAAAGTCTGGGGTTTTGTGCATTAGATTGGTGTGTTACACTGTATTCCATCACTGTGACAAAACACCTGAGATAATCAACCTAGTAAAGGAAAGGGTTCATTTTGGCTCATGGTTTCAGAGGTTTCTGTCCATGGTCTGTGATGTTATATGTTGTTATGGTCTGTGATGGCACAATACATCATGGCAGAAACACTTGATGGAGATTTGGTCACCTCGTGGAGGCCAGGAAGAAATGAGGGGGTGACAGGAAGGACCAGGGTTCCAATATCCCTTTCAAGGGCAGCCACCCCTCCCCGGTGACCTGACTTCCTTCCACTAGTTCCTGCCTCTGAAAGTTCCCACAACAGCACTGCCATGGGGACCAAACCTTTAGCATGGCATTTGGGAGACTTCTAAGACCCAGCAATAGCAGATGGCATGAGGAAATGTGGCAG